ATCATCCTCCGGGCAATCCAGCTTCGGCTCGGCGCGAGTGTCGGCGTTCACGCCCATGAAGCACAGGGCTCTCCTCTCCCACTCGTCAGCAACTGGGTCGGAGACACCTGCGGTCGGGCAGTAGAGCTCGGCCTTGTTCAGCGCGAAGAAGCCGGACAGGTACTTTCCACCGGTGTACTTCTGATTGGCATCTAGCTGGAGACCACCAACCATGGTCCTAATCTTGGTCGGCTGGAACTCGAAAGCGCTCTCGGGGGCTTCACCTGTGGCGTTGGGATCCGTGTTCAGCTGAGTGTTCGAGTTGTTGGCGGACTCGAAGCTGCCGAGGGTGATGCATCCGCGATCGTGGCAGTTGGCCATGGAGATGGCCACTGTCACCTCCTCACCAGTGGAACTCAGGAAGGTCCGGGTGGGACACTCCTGGTCGCAATAGGTGCGTGCCAAGACTCGGCAAGCGTTGCGCTCGGCCGTGGTGTCGTACCTCTGGCAGTTCGTGTCGAAGCATGGAGAGTTGGCATTTGCGATGGTGAGAGGGCAGAAGTTCTCCTGATCCTCCCACTCGTTTACCGCCAGCTTCACATTGTCGGCCGTCAGGGTTGAGATGATGTGGTCGTCACTCCTGAACACATCCAAGATGGACTGTCGCCCACAGAACGGCCCGAAGGCAAAGCACTTGCGCCCCTGGAAAACGACGCTTCCGTTCACGTTCTCCGGACGCCCATTGAAGGTCCAATCCCCGGCATACTGAGTCCAAGGACGATTGTCGCCTTCGCTTCGCTTGTGCTGCTCGTCCAAGTCCGCGACAATCTCGTCACCGTCGATGGTGATGTTCAGGATCTTCTCGTTGATCTCGTGGAATCGCTGGAGATACTTCGGATCAAAGATGTTGCAATTCTCAGTGTCAACGTCGTTGCAGGTGACGGAGAAGAGGTTGAAGCGCGAGTTGGACGGATAGGTCTGCAAGACGTAGTCGTTATGCTCCAAGGCAATAGCTCCTGTGGGGACCCATTGCTTCTCCGGTCGTGTCTCGTTCGTAAGCATCGAGAACCCGCCACCACAGGCTACCACGAAGAGGACACTGCCGACGAGACTCTTGATGGGGTGAGTGCCGACGACGCGGCCCACTTTCTCGAAGAAGCTTTCTAAGACCCGCTCGATGACTGTCATGCTTGCTGGGTCTGTTCGACGAGTCGCGCAGGAAAATGTGAAAAATGTGACCAGTGCACTCGGGCCAAGCAGGAGAAATGGCAAAATCGTCATGACGAACATGCCCGCTCACCGATCGACAGACCCAGCTAGCTAGCTCTCCCTCGCTCTCTCTGCTCTTTCCTGGGTGTGGCCTTGTTGGGCGCTTCCAGGGTCTTGCTGTTCGGCTGCCCAGGATTCCGGGCCGGTGCTACAAAGCCTCACAGGCACGTACAGAGCGTGCCAAGGGGACAGCTCAGACTCTCAGGAAGTGCGCGGAGTGTCGGGAGGAGGCCGAGGAATTGAATTCAAGATTTCAGCGTTTGGAATCCACGACTTTCTCGTTCAGTTGCTGGCCTTGGGCTGAATGTTCGGGTTTCTGTGAAGCACAATCCCAGAGGGTCCATATACACTACAGTTATGGAATCAGGCCCCAAAAGACCTGAATCCTAATATTAATGTTTTTGGGGGACCTGTAATTCCATAATAGTAGTATATATGGACCCTCTTGCAATCTTCGAAGCCTGAACTCGACGTCGCGGCAGCAGACTTGCTGGAGAATCCCCAGCACCACCATAGCCTGTCTCTAGTGATCGCTGAGGCTCAGGCCACCTGGAAGCTGACCTAGAATTTAATATAGGGGCCTTACTAGTTAGAATAGGGTTTGGGGATCCATCATACCATAAATATATAACGGAAGCCCCAAAATAGTATTGGTAGGACACCGAGGGTTTCGGATGCCAAAAGAAGCCGAGAAAGCCCCGGCCCAGGATGCAGCTAAGCTGTCCCCCGGCTCAGTCGGGCGGTAATTACTCGGCCCCTATATTACGTCTCGTTTGTCTTTGGTGCTGCCTGCCCTAAACCCTAAACCCTAAATCGCCAGAGCGAGACTGAGATCTCTGAGAGTGGAGCTGTCTGCATCGTCGAAACTAACGTCACGCTGCAGAGCCGCAACGAGGTCCCCTGGGCCGTTTTCGGCTTGTTTAGGATTTAGGGTTCGGGGCTTTTTGGATTCTTTTGGACTACCAAGCCCGTGAAACATGCTAACCTGTTGTTCTTCCATTTCAGCAATTGGTAGTGCTAACAGCAGCGTTCGTAGCTTTCTTGCTGTACTCAATATTTGCAACTCCGCAGCATTGGAAGCCTCAGTTCCTTATCTTCCCTATTATATACCCGGAAGCCCTACCCTAATGATTCAGGCTCCAGTCATATCACTAGGCGCATAACTGCCTGCTGCGTAGTGGCCGAGGCTAGACGGGGCTGCTGCCGGAGCGGCTTCGGCCTGAGATGTTCAGGGTTTAGGGCTTACAGGGTTTATGGTTTGGGCTTATAGGGGGCTTACAGGGTTTTGGATTTAGGGCCTACAGGTTTAGGGTTTATATATAGGGCTTATAGGGTTTAGTGTTGAGGGCTTGAAGAAATCCCTGCTTCGACCAGTGGGAGGACCAGGGAACTTCGTTGAGGCTCTACGCAGTTTCAACTCGGTTGCCAATGGGTTCCAAAAGGGTTTAGGGCCTTAGCAAGAAAGGTTACAAGTACCTTCATTCGGACTAGAAGTATTTAGAAGTATAGTTTCCTGATTTACAGCCCTAGTTACGAAGTCCGATGATCCATGGACCCGGAGCGCAGGGCTTGGTGGTGGTGGTGGTGGTGGTGGTGGTGGGGGCGGCGGCGGCGGCGGTGGTGGTGGCGGTGGTGGCGGCGGCGGTGGTGCACCATGGTGGTGGTGGTTTTTAAGCTTGGTTGTGGTCCTTGCCGTCATCACCTGCTTTCATGGCTCCTGCCAATAACATCACCATCATCATCAGCTGCAACCTTCAGTGTTGTAGTTACTGGTACTGGGGCTTCATCCCTCGAGTCGCAATTTGCCGCTCTCTGCCGGTGGATTTTTTGATGTGGCTTGAGGGGGTGGGGCCTGAGGATTCTAAAGCTAAGATTTGAGGAGCTTCGGTATGCAGGATAGTGAAGACGACTTACTCCATAATCTGCTCGAGAAAAAACTGTGTCAATCCCCTCGTCGAACTCGTCTGAGACCAGCTTGCTTCAACCTGCCTATACTCGTGCCCCAAGCTCCGCAAATTGCTTGGGCGCATGACTATTACTATGAATATTCATATTCTTGCCTTTATTCATATGATTCGTATTATTATTTGGGCTCCAGAGCTTTGGACTTCCGGATGAAGGGGCTCTCGGATTTTTGGGGGCTGAGCCTTCTCTCTGCAGATTACCGATCACCGATTCCAAGCGAAAGGCCGGGGCCGAGGGGTTTAGGGTTCTTTTCTTCAGGGTTTTTAGGGTTTAGGGTTTAGGACTTAGGTTTTTTTTTTGAGCACCTTTTTCCGTCTGCTGGTTAGAGCTTTCGGAACCTGCATGATGGACTTAGGGTTTAGGGCTTAGGGTTTAGGGGTCAACTTTTCAAGCAAAGGTCTGAGGCTACGAGCCATGAGGGTTTCGATTTAGGGGCGGCGGGTGTACTGCGGGGTGAGCAACTTGCCTTGGGAATGCTCGGGAATTCGGCACGGGAAGTGTTGGCAGGTCGAGGGTAACCCTAAAAAAATGCTAAACTACAGAACTAAAGAACTCGTGCTAAGCCCTCCCTGCAGCTGAATTCATCCGAGCGGATGTAAAGTTCTTCCTAAGGCCTGCCCCAAATCCATGAACTCCGGCCCACGCGGGGGGGCAGATTGCCGTAAACGCGGATTGAAGCCAAGGACTCTCCAAGCTGATCTTTGTCGCATAAACTCTGAGCCCACGGCTGAACATGGCGTAATGAGAGATCTGAATAACACATGCCTTTCTAATAGCTCCACTAAGGCCCTTAGATTGATCCCATCTGGTAACCCTTAGAGGATCCCTTAGCAGAGCCCCACCAAAGAATCCTAGACAGGAACCCTTGTAGGAACCACCTTGCACGAACCCTAAATTAACCCTAAACCCTGAACCCTGAACCCTAGACCCTAAACCCTGAAGCCTACACCCTGAACCCTGTAAGGCCCAGGCCCCCTGTCCCTTGGAGTTGCAGGCAGCGCTGCCTCTTCGGGCTTCAGGCATCTAGGCTCGAAACAAAGCCTCCAAGGCTCCAGGGTTGGTAACGAGGGGGTTGGAAAGTTTAGGCTCTGGGGGTTAAAGGCTTAGGACTTTGATGAGGGGTTGAGGGGTTTAATGTTTAGGGTTTGGGGGTTCAAGGTTTAGGGCTTTGATGAAGGGTTGAGGGGTGTGATGTTTAGGGTTTGGGGGGTTAAAGGTTTAGGGCTTTAATGAGGGGTGTAAAGTTTGGGGTTTGGGCGTTAAAGGTTTAGGACTTAATGAAGGGATATGAAAGGTTTAAAGTTTAGGATTTTGGGGGTTTAACGGCTTAGGACTTCAATGAGGGGTTTAAAGCTTACGGCTTGGGGTTGGGCTTAGGGCTTTGGGTTTTGGGTTTAGGCCGGAATATTTGGATCACTGTCGGCTTTCGCCGGCAGTATACTGAGTATACTGTACAGGCACAAGCGAACCCTGCTGAACACCTCGACTCAGAATGCGGGCGCTTAGTTTGAGCCCCAAATGCAACCATGCTTGACCTGAACCCTATAAACCCTTATTGAACCCTTACCGAGCCCTTATGGAGCCGTTTTTGTAAACCCTTATAGGTACATGGTCCCTTAACCAGAACCAGAAATTGAGCTATTTCGACAAGGAGGATGGAGATGGGTCAACGCTCACTCGCGACGCTATGGATTTGTAGAGGGCCGACGTGTCCCAAGCCCACAACGCCTCTCGCCAAGAACTCCGACATGCACCATAGCCATTAGTGCTAGCAGTAGTAGTTGGTGATAGTAGTAGTAGTAGTAGTAGTAGTAGCAGCAGCAGCAGCAGGAGGAGGAGGAGTAGTAGTAGTCATCGTAGTGGTCCATATTTTTCAAAATCTAAACCCTCCGCTGCCTTTGCTGGACAGGCGCGACAGTCTGCTCTCCATACCCTCGCTGTCGCTGGTGACGCGTTGGCAGCTGGAGCTCACGGAGTCCGTGTTCACAAGGCTGCCCTTGGCAGTTTGAGGGTTGACGGGGCTTTGGGGTTTGGGTTTAAGGCTGGGGGTTTAGGGTTTAGGGTGTAGGATCCAGCTCCGCTCTGATGATGGGCCATGCTGCGCCCTGAACTTTCTCAGAACGACACCCTAAATCTAAACCCTAAACTTCAACCCTCCCTAACCCTGAACCGAAAATGACGATTTCTTCCCTAAGCCCTCAATCCTAATCCTAATGTTGGAGCTTTCTCGGCTTCTGGTTTCCAGTGCAGCGGGCCCTGATGCTCCCTTCGCCCTCGGTCTCCGAATCCCTCGACCCCTGAAGCTCTCGCACGTGAGGCCTTGGGTTTAGGTATAGGGTTTAGGCTTTTAGGGATTTAGGCTTTAGGATTTAGGGTTCAGGGCGTTCAGGGTTTAGTAGTTTAGACTTTAGCCTGTGCAGCTTGCAAGACTTGAACAGCCCTGACGACAAGCTTCTCGAACTTGAAACCCAGTTCGGAAGTCTTTACTATAGCTGCCTATAGGATTGTGAGGTATGCTATATTATGCTTGTGATAAGGAACCCTAAGAAATGCGTTCCGGTAGCTACTCAAGCACCTGTGTTACGTATGTTACGTGTTACTGCTCACAATCCCAAGAGACCTGGTCGTCGAAAGCAGGAAGCGTGGACAGGCGCAAAGGTGGGACCTGGTGCGCAGGCTTGCCGGTCAGTCGCAATGTGACTGTTTGTAAATATGCGGACAAATAATTAGATAAAACACATATTTATACCACCTCTGTGAGGGGTCTGGCGGGGCCGCCCGTATTTACATACACGAAAACCTTAGCGCTTAAACCCGACGAAGAAGTCGTCCACACACACACACACACACATCCTGGACGCCTTCTTCCACGACCACGACAACAGCATCACGCAGGAGAAGGACGTACCAGGGTTTTGCAACGGGATGGAGAAAGTGATACAGCAAAGGAACTAAACTGATGCCGACAGGACACGGAGTTTCTAGCCTAGTGGAAGAGCTCCTGCTCTTGAGTGACAGTCTGCGGGTTCGATTCCCGCGCCGCGCATTTATTTTGA